CTTCTGCAGTGTGATATGAGAGAGATGAGAAGCAGGAGCGGGGAGGGGGCGGAAGGGATCGGGCGCAGCGTACTTTTTTTTTTCCCCGAAAAAGGTAGACACAGCAGTTGTTGCTGCCTACTTTCAGGAAATGGAGATGCACGCAAAGGAAAAAAGATGTGCAAATATTGGTGGGGACTGTCCCTGTCCGGCCAAAGTTGGTGGGGACATGTCCACACCAGTCCTTCAGAAAGTTACGCCCTTGGCTCATGCATAAACTGATGCATGCATCAAAAAAATTGAATAATTTATCATCTATTTATTAAAATGCTAACAGTCAATCAGATCTTGCATATATTTGCCCAGAAATGAAGTGTCAGGGTATTTGCACAGCCTTTCTTTTGCACAAAGCTTCTGACAAGTTAGTAGAGATGAGTGGAGTTGAAGAAATTATCGGGGTTTATGTAGTACACTGATTTTAATTACACTACACATAGTATAGTTTGTTTTATCATAAGAACTGTAACGACTGTTAAACGTGAGTTTTGATTAACTTGATGATTCTATATTAATAGTTACATGCCTGGTAACAAATACAACACATATTTGTACTTTTAAAAATCATTATGATAGGTGATTAGTTGTTTGTGGGCATGGCTTTGACCAAAATGATAAGGACCCCCTCCCGACTGATGATGTAATTAATATAGGCGGAGTCATGCCCTGAAGTTTTTATAAAACTCGTGTTTTTTCTGGATTCGGTCTGATTTCCTGGTACCATTAAATCGGACATCAGCAGAGCGCTCTTGGTTTTGTACGGCCGTTCAAGACTCTCTCAATGCAAATGCACTATTTCTGCACGGTTTTGCACACATCCTGGTAATGAACACGAAATATCATCGTATTTCTTTCAGAACCATGCAACTTTGTGTTTAGATGCAAGTCTTTGGCAATTCAAAACTTTTTAAACTGAGTTATTCTGGAAATATATCATTGAGATTCCCCAACTCCACTCAACAGTTCAGAAAGATTTATGATTTGTTCTGACTGCATGCTGTCCTGAAAACTTTTCCCTTCACATCTTTCTAGGAACTGATGGGAAGGGACCATTTTAGATTTGAGACAAACATGTTTTACTCAGCTTTGGGACTTTATCTTTTGTACTCATTGTACTATTTAAATATTTCCACACAAACAATCCAAACAAGCTATTTCGTGCTCCTGCAGAGTCTGAACACCTCACCTTGCGGATGTCATCCAGGCAGGTGATTTCAGGGCTCAGACCTCCGTGGACGCAGAGGAACTGCTGGTTGAGGAGAGCAGCCAGAGGCAGGCAGTCGAACGCTTCCATACAGGCATCGTATACATGTTCAGAGTACTTTATTTTACCTGGGGAACACACACACACACACACAAAGTAAACAAATCAGCACTTCTTCCTTGCTGTTCTGTGATAAAGGTTTAGCCTCAAAGACAAAGATAGTTCAGCAGCACTTACACTCCTGTTTGAAAGTGAAGTACTCTGTGAGATGTCGGCACTCGTGGTTCCCTCTCAGGAGGAACAGGGTGTTGGGGTAGTTGATCTTCAAAGCCCACAGGTACAGTACACACTGCAGACACACACACAAACTAAATATTAGCTTAACACCACGACACAGCAGCCGAGCCTTACCTTCAGCAGAAACTCATCTCTTTACAGTATTTATTATATTTTCTGAGTGTAATGACAACTTCAAAACAAACCCAGTGCAAGAATAACTTTCTTTTTTCTGTTTGGTTTGAAGTTGAATTTACACTTTTTTAAGGACTTTTTCATTGCTACCTCCTATATACTTGCCCTTACTATATTATTCTCCAATATTTTTTTATTGTTTTTCAGTCATCGTGTTGTATGACTTACAAAAGCTGGCATCTTGTGAATTTCCTTTGGGATAATGAAGCCTATCTTATCTCATTTTAGTTGCAGAGAGAACAACAGTCATTATCACCTGAAACCAAAGGGTGTGTGTGTATGTATGTGTGTGTCATGTCAGCAAAATACTTAATGAACCACTGGATGGATTTTAATGAAACTGTCAAAGTAATCACTAGATGTTGTACAACTGATTGACTCACATGAGGATTTGACAATTATTTTTACGCCAGATGCTCTTCTCGACCACCAAGCTACTGCAGCCCATGTAAAGTATATAAAAATATAATATAGTATTTAAGTATTTAAAATTTTTTAAATGTATAAGGTGTTTTTGAATTGAATGCGTAATAGTTAGGGCAGTGGTTCCCAAACTTTTCARCTTTTGACCCACAAAATAACAGTAGCAGAGACCTGTGCCCACAACTATTTTTGTATGATAAACATTTGTATTAGGTCAACAAAGCATGAGCATAGTAACAATATTTTTATACCACATTTATCCATTTTAAATATACTAGCCTCACTCCTTTGTAACTAAGGCATAAATGTAATTAATTCTGAAAATCTTTTCAGGACCCCACCTTGATGTTTCGGGACCCCACTTTGGGTCCCGACCCCAACTTTGGGAAACACTGAGTTAGGGGATGGGAACAGGCAACTTCTCAATCACAGACTCACCTTCAATAATTTCTAATCGACCACTCTCCTGATTTTACAGTCACAGGTATTTACTAAGGTAAAATTTGCTGCGGTAGCTTTGAGTCATCCTCAACTTACATATACGGCAAGTGCTAACTGACCAAGTTATATCCATTTTAAAACCTTGTCATTAAATATAGGACTCAACTGTATTTGATAGCTAAACATGTCATCAACAATCAGACAGAATTCAACAAAACTCTTAGAAAGTACCGTAGTCTTTGGGTGCACATTTACAAACCATTAACTCCTGGAATTGAGCCAATTCAAGATGGCTGTCACAGCCAACTAACCTTTGGATACAAATTATCAAATGTTATCCATATTGCACAAAAAATATGATGAGAGCTAACATATTTTGTAAGATCTTATGCATTAATGTCACTTGTAAAATATGATTAAAGGCTAAAACCCCATCCATTTCTACTAATAACCCATTCAACAGAACTAAAACCAGGAACTGCATAGCAGGAAGTAATAAAAGAAACAGCACAGAAAGCCAATATCACGACTAACTGCAGCACTCTAATATGAAACAGAGTGAAAGGACAATTATTAAATAGAGAATAGATTTAGCTAATGTAACTATTGATTGGTACGAGCTGTGATCTGTAACAGTCCTCATTAAAAACTCTCAAGAGTGCAGCCAAAGATGAGCAGTATGTCCCCATTATGATTGAGAAGAGTTTAAAAACCTCAGGAACGAGACACCTTGATTCTCACTTTAGTGACAATGAAAGTGTCTGATTGACAGCCCTCCTCAGTATAAAAACTAAATCCTCCAACAAGCATGAGGAGCAGCAGCTGGTGACAGACTGAAACATTAGACTGAACTTTTAAAACAAACACCATGTTCTTTTCAGCTGCCACTCACTTCCTCTGTTTTTAATGCAGCTTCAAACCACGCACCTAATTTGAATTTTTTTTCATACTCTGAAAGCACCAACAATAAGCCAAATCTGATGAGCTGTTCTATAAAAGTCAACAGGTCTGACCACAGAGAGTAATCTGCAGCAACACAGCTGTTAGAGAAAACCCCTTTTTGGTACCAAGATGAAAACTTGAGGTTGATATTTAGATTTAACCTTGGGAAAAGAGGGGGGGGGGGGGAGTGGAAACAAATGAAAACGTATCTTTTTAAGTTCAGTCACCTTTTTATGTGAATAAATGCTGCTTTCTTGGGTCCGTGGTGTTTCACTGTGTAGATATAAATAAATAGGTCTGTGATAACCTGCTATACTTTTCATTTGAGATTAAAAAGACAAGAAATTTAAACACCAAGAGGCCCAGAAGAACTCCAAAGAGAAAACTGTGAGAAAATAGAAGCACTGTTTTTCATTTATTCTGATTAGAAACACAGATGACCATAGAGTGATGGGAAATATCATTAACCATATTTGCAACATGTAGCTCTAGACAATGTTGGCCAGACTTTGCTCCCCAATGAACCTAGGCTATCCATGAGGTCCAAAAAAGTGAGGATGGCCACCGCCGGGTTGGGAATGAGCCACTGCCTCAACGGAAGGAGTTTCAAGTATTTGAGCTGAGACAGAACGGAGCAAGAGGCTGACAGGAGGATTGGATCAGTGTCTGCAGTGATGTGGACACTGTACCAATCTGTGTGAAGAGAGAGTTGAGCCAAAACACAAAGCTCTCAATACAGATCAGTCAGCATCCTATCCCCCTCACATAGACAAATAGCTAAAATGAGTTTCATCCTGAACTCACCCTCAGGGATAGGAAGAGTAGTGTGATTATTTTATCTTTTGATTATTTCGGGGCAGCTATGGTAGAGCGGTTTGGGGAGTTGTCTTGTAACCGGTGGGTTGCCGGTTCAAACCACCGCTGTCAGTCTGCCCCAGGGCAGCTGTGGCTACAATGTAGCTCACCACGAGTGTGTGAATGGGTGATTGAGTCCTTGAACTTGATGAAGTGCTATATAAGTTCAGGCCTTTACAATTTATTTTGGAGGAGCCTTGCTTCTCCTCTGCATTAACAAGAACCGGTTGAGGTGGACTGGGTCAGGATGCATATTCAATTTCCAGGAGGAATTTAATATGCATCCTACTGGCCAGAGGACTTAGCACAAACTGAAGAATTTCTGGAAAGATCATTTGTCACAGCTGGCCTGGGAACACTTTGGAGTCTCTCCGAATGAGCTGGAGGAGACAGCTAAGGAGAGAGAGGTCTGGGAATCTCTGCTTAAACTGTTGCCTCTGCAACCCAGTCTCAAAAAATCTAAAAGGAATTTCCTCAGATAGATTAGGTTCATGCACGTCCACCCATCCTATTGACCAGGAACATCTCAGAAGAGCTGTGGTTGTTGACATATGATTTTTAAAATGGGGAAACAAAATGGAATCTGATATAAAATGGGGAATCTCAGAATCCTCTAATTTGGCCGAGCTTCTGAGGTATTTTGGCAGCTGCAGCTCCCTTTACCTGTTGTTACCTGGTTACAAGTAAGTGTGTGCTCGGCACTGCTTTTCTCCACACAGGAAAAAAAAAGGAAAGAAAGAAAGAAAAAAGGTCAGTCAGGCACAGCGAAGAGACTTGCTGAAACACCAACGTCCTCCAAAAAAACAGGAATAAAGCAAACCACTGTGAGCCAGTCATGCCTGCAAACTCTAAACAAGGAGCTCTGACAAAACAGAAGAAAGAATGAGCTTAGACCCTTTTTAAGTTTGCACAAATTGTTAATATTTCTGTTTCTTTATGAGACATGTTTACATTACAGTAAGTTAAACTAAAGCAGGGATAGTCAATCCTGGTCCTCGAGGTCTGCAGCCCTGCATGTTTTACTTTTTTCCCTTCTGAATTACCTCTTCCAAGTTCTGCAGAAGCCTGAAAATCATCCAATTAAATCAGGTGTGTTGGAGCAGAGAAACAGGTAAAATGTGCAGGGCTGTGGACCTCGAGGACCAGAATTGACTATCCCTGCTCTAAAGCATTTTTATTTTACAAAAGGACAACTTTTTAATGTGAAATATGAGAGATTCTATGTTCTAAGACGGGTAAATGTTTTAAAATACTTTGCAAAAGCATTTAATGTTCTGCTTAACCACAACAATCTGTTATATTTTATGAAAGTGGAATAATAATTAAATTTTGACTTCTGTGGCTATGCAATTCTTTAATTATTTTTCAGTTATTTTATATTTACACTTTTTTAGGTTATTAAATATGGTTGGAATGAAAATGTGAAATTTTCAGCAGATTTTATAGGGTTCTTTATAACCCAGCTGTCAAACCAGCATAGTTTGGCTGTTGATAAAGTTACTAAAATATCCAGATCCCTGATATTTTCTGTTTATCTGCCATCAAATACAAAGGCACCTCCCACCCACTGCCAATCGCCACTGTAAGAAGATAATCAAGGTTTGTCACTTCCCCCGTTAGTGGTCAGAATGCTGTCACTGGTTTATTATAACAAATCATGAGTTTTCAAAGCTGGAATAAAGAGACATTTAAGGCATCTCTGTTCAAACCTCAATGTCAAATGTGTTAAGAGCATCACCCAGATTATTTCTGCTTCGACTGAGAGCTGACTTACAGCTGACCAAGTCATCTGTCTTTGTGAAGATTACTGCACTAATGAAGTTCAGTTGCTAAAGAGTCGTTCATCTCTCTTAGCTTCAAACAGAAAGGGTTCCAGGGTTTTTAATTCTCCTGAACAAAGACATTTGCAGAAAAAAGTAATAATAAAAGAAGTCTCCAACTAACCAATCCTTAACTGTCCGCTCAGATTGGTTGGAAATGGCACAGATTTGAAGGCAGCGAGTTAGGCGTGGGTGTGCTTGTGTTTAGCAGTGTGTGTTTTGTGCGTGGGTGGAGCGCAGAGTGTGGCAGTTGGGAGGGTGAGGTGGCAAACAGTGCGTCTTTCATTTTCTATGACTATTTAAAGACACGCTGCTGCTGCTGTAAATGTCCCGTTGGGGTTCCGACGGATCACCGGGTCTGAATGAATGCTTTAAAGTCCTCACACACACTAAACACCATCATGCACATGTCACACTTCTAACGAAGAAAGTAGTATTATTTGGTTGAGACTGGGCTGCCTGTCGCACTGTTTACTGAACACACACAATTTGCAGGCCTTGAAAAAAAAATTCAGAGAGGAATTTTTTTTTAAATTTAAAGACAGAAAATTGCCCATAAATAAATGGAGTTGACCACAAAATGACTGCAAAAGAAGATGTTTGAACACGCACATTTAAAGTTTGTAAATAAAAGTACAAAAATCCCAGAAGGAATGCATATCAGCTGCTGCTAGAGATTTAGACTAAGATCATCTTTTGATGAGAAGGGACAGAGTTGTAAATAACTTTATACACAATCTTGCATGATTTAATATCACCAGTGTTAAGAATGACTCTCAGGTACTACCACACCAAGGTGAGCTTAAAACCTGAAAAACACTGAACGAGTTAAAGCAGGTGTTGGGTTGGCTACCTTCATTCATTCTTTCATAACCATCTTCAACTGTGCTGAAGTTAATCACTTGTAGATGTACATCCAATAGTTACAAGTTTCAATAAACTCTGTACATAGGTCCATGAATTCTTTTTGCAAATGGCCACAAACTATTGATTTTGCTTATGAGTGGGAAAAAAAGAGTGAAATTTAGTCTGTTTCTGCACTAAATGCCTTTTGTCCCACGTGTCACATTTGGCAGACACCAATTTCTCCATGTGAAGCATCACAATGAGTCACCTACCTCGATGCTGAAGTACCCTCGGTCCACGTAGTCTCCAAGGAATAGGTAGCGGGTGCTGCTGGGGGACCCGCCCACCTCAAAAAGCTTCATTAAGTCAAAAAACTGGCCGTGGACATCTCCACATACTAAAAAAAATACAAATAAATGGATTTAGATGATCTGATAGTAGGAAAGGAAAGAAAATCCACAAAAAAGTCCAAATGAGACCTCGTGAAAAGTGTTTTACAGGTTGTGAGTGGAAATTATTGGATCAGTTTTTCGACCTAAACAATAAAATCCTCTTTCCTCTTAGCATCTCTAATGTTTTAATAGTAAATGTTCAAATACACACTTTTAAAATGTTTAATTACTTTTATCCTGAGGAAGCTTAAACATTTTTTTCTGTGGTGAATTGAAATAGAAACAAAGTGCAGGCAGGGAGTAAAGAGTGAGCAGAGTTGAGGGTGAACGACTGCAGCCTGGTGAGGTGGGGTTCATTTGCATATTCAGAGATGATCCATTTGTTGAGGAAAAGGTGTGGAGTTACAGCAAGTACATTTTCAGATACTACAGGAATGTTTTAGAGGGGAAAAAAAGTGGTCGAAACTAAATTTAACACATGGAAAACAAAGTCTACAGTACATACTCCCTGATTAAAAAAACAAACATAATGCTAAGTACATGAGCCTTTTTACTGGCATTTTCAATAAATAAATGACTTGCCAATATTTGGTCAGCAACATGAGATTTAAAGGCTTCTTTACAAATGTTACTGTGCACTATTACGCATTAAAATATAGAAATACGTGTTTCAGTAAAATAAATCATAGTCCTGGAAGATTGAAAGTTATTCAAGTGCATAAAAATTAATTTTCTACTTGCATCACAGCCCTCTGAATGGCACTAGCTGAATGATGAGGTGTCTAAAGACTCCCACTGCATCTCAAAGTCAACGATGCTGCCTTGGAAGGACTTGTCCTACCATGTTATGTTCTTTTACGGAAGGAAAGACTCCTTAAATGCATTGCTTTTATTAATTATTTTGGACATCTTTAGAATTTTAGATGATACGAGTTTGAAACAACAAACAGTATGCTTAAAATTTTACACAACAAAAGACCAATCCTCTTTTACTCTAAAACTTGGCCCCTTTACGTGGGATAAGGAGGCTTTTAATTTCTTATATTTCTCCATTTGCTGCAGACAGTTACAAAAAGATGCCTGCAGACAGCCGATGCATTAAGGACCACAACAGCTGAGGACTGAAAACTGGAGCTCCACCAAAAATAAATCTGTTTATGTAAAAGGTAACAAAAAAGTTATCACAATCACAACATATAAGCTAGATCCTATAATGTACTGTTTTTACCCCATGTTAAGATAAATTAACTGGAGAATTATGAAATTCTCCAGTACATCCCAAAGATTCCTGATGAGGTTAAGGTCTGGACTCTGTGGAGCCAATCCATGTGTGAAAATGATATCTCATGCTCCCTGAACCACTCTTTCACAATAAGAGCCCCATGAATCCTGGTCATTCAGTATATTCAGGTAGTCAGCTGACCTCATTCTTTGAGCACAAACTGTCGCTGAAACTACACCTGACCAACTGCAGCAACCCCACATCGTAGACCTTAGCTAAATCCAGACAGCAACATTTTTTTTCACCACGCAGTGTATATTGTTTGTTTAAAGCAATATAATATTTTAAAAAATCCTAATAAAGTTGATTAATCAAAAGGAAGAACATTTTAAAGATCGAAGAATAGCTGGTAGATGACATGAGAAAGAAACAAAGGACATTGAGGAGATAAATAAAAATAGCCTGACAGCAAGAAGCCAGGCCACATGTCACAAAGGTAGAAATAGACTGAAGGATCAGTTTCCAGAAAGCTCCCCCTTGCCAACACACACACATTCCCTCTGCCTCTGAATGATGTCAGCTGATGGGGGAAACACACACCTGATGCAGTAAGATTGGTGTCACAGTAACAAGGGTTTACCTGTGATGGGAGCTTCCACCTCCAGCATGCATTTCTCCTGGCGCAGGATGCTGGCCCCCTCGTTGATGATCCGCAGGGCTGCCTCTTCCTCCAGCCGACCCTCCTTCACTAGATGGGCCTTCAGCTGCTCCAGGTCGGGCTTTCCATTTGCATACAGCTCTTTGACCGAGAGGCGTGTACCGGGAGGATACGGCACCGCTGCAAACAAAAGGGTAAAATTAGGTCAGATGAGCAACTCCTGGAGATAGCAGTGCCAATAAAAACACTGATAAACTGATGGTTCACTGTGAGGACATGAGGAATGGAGCAGTTTCTGTTCTTTACAGTTCTCCTCCAAGCTGTAAACTTGAGATAATTTGAAAAACTAATATTTTTTGCTTGTTTTAGGTAAGATTTAACAGAAACTCTAACACAGATTCACAGTATCTGATATTTAAAACATCTTAAAGTATATGCACTCTGCAGAAAAATGTCCTCCTTATCACTTAGCTTCAATAAAAGGTGCTAGGTCAAGAGAATTAATTCATTTAATGTGTGATTCAAAAGCTATTTAGTCTGTAAGTGTTTTCAAAGATGACGTTAGAGAAGCTTCAGCTCAGAACAAAATGATCAGAAATGCTTTGTAAAAAAAATAACAAGCCGCCCACAGGAAATATCCTCCTCAAGGTCACCAACACAAACTATTCAAGCCTTTCTGTTAACACTAAATAATCTTCAGTACAGAAGCACTAAATTATCAGAAACTGAAGTAAATACTGTGTACAGTGAAAATACCTTACAAAGAAAGCTGAGAGATAAAATGACAATATGGCTTTTACTTGCAATACACAAAATATCAATTTGTGCTCCAAATCACTACAGTAAAACTCATAAATTAGAGTTGATAGTGTAAAACAATTCTGAGCTTGACCCCCGAGCCACCTCAACACTAGCCTGGTTATAATAACCAGCCCCTTGTCCTTCGCTTTTGGAGCTGCGTAGGAAGGACCAGGCTACCTCAACACACACACACAATCCCATTTGTGTCTGCATATACATAGATAATACCAGCATATTACTACAAAAAAACTAGAAAAATGCAGTTTTAAGTAATTTTGTACTGAGCAAAGGTTTACCCAAGATCTATTATTTAAATATCATCCTTTTGAAATTAACACAACTGCAACATCACTCTTCCAGTGTCAACCTTGATCACCAAGCATCAACACATTATAAAAGGTTTTCATGTTTAAAAAGGGAAATTTATAAACTTTGATGCTAAAAATACTTGAACATTAAAAGCCACATGACTGATGAGGGAAAAAAACAGAAACTGGGCAAACAACCTATATGAAAACTGTTATGTATTTCATATTTGATCATTAAATGCATTACAGTTTCATAAACTCTGGTTCCAAATAAACAATTTAGCTCATTAAAATCTCCAAATGGGCTGTTTATACTGGTAGAATAATATAGCTGATCTTTATGATGAACTAAAAACTGGCTCCTCCACAGAGAGAACACAGTGAGGGTTTTGGAGGCAAAACATCAAAACTTAAACAGAGACACACCTTTGTTACACTTTGTTTAAACAAATACCTCTTTTAGTGTTAATATTGTCAGATTCCAAGAACTAAAGCAACATAAAAGAGACAACTGTACCAAGACAGGCAGGGCTCCCGTGCCAGCTAATCAACTTTTTTCACAACACCTGTCTCATTTTCTCCCAGTACACATGGACCTGTTGGTCAGATGGTGTTGCCCAGGTCACTCTTATAAAAGTCATCAGATGTCGTTCTTTCCGCTCCTCCTGTATGCTCAGGTGGAAGAATCAGTAAACATCTTCCTGCTGATTTTTATTCTCTTACATCTGCTTTCTGAAAATGTACCCTATTGTTTCCATTTTTTAATAACTTGTTCTAACAATTAAATTTATTTATTTTGAGCACTGCTCCAACTTCTTCTGGTGGATATGATTCAAATGGCTGATATCCAAATCCCGTCACCACCTTTCTGATTGGCTAGTAGGCCTGTCTAGTGTGTTTAAAGTGAAAGGTCCAGAGAAATGTCTGTTAAAGAAATTCATTTTTTAAAACTGTTCAAATGTAGGGTGAAACAGGAAAAAATGTAGCCAGTGTTTTGCGGCTGAAATAACAACTGAATAAAAATTTGAATATGATATGGGTAAATCATGGATAATAGTAGAGATGTTCCACTGCGATTGCAAGTATAGGATCATATTTTTTATTGATTGGTAACAGAGAAGCTGCCCCATTCTGCTATGTCATACCATCTCAACAACCACAGCTCTTCTGGGATGTTCTTAAAACGGTGAGTGGATAGATGTCCTGGCATGTCACAGTACTGCTTATGTACAGCAGTCTAAGTACAGAAACATGCCTGCGGTAAGTCCTGATGCATCTCAGTAATCCAGGTAAAAAATCAAAGAAAAAAAAATTGTATAGGTCCTCTGGACGGGTTCTTCTTTAATGAAACATTTCGTCTCTCTTCCAAGAGACTTCTTCAGTCTCACAACATGGGTGTGCTATGGGATCCCCAGTTTCTCCTATTGTTGCAAACCTGTACATGGAGGA